TCTTTCGAGCAAATAATGCGCTCCAATCGAGCTCTTAACTGAATGTCGAATACTCAGCCAAGAGTAGTGCAATTCTTGGCGGAATCGCATTCTGTATTACGTACGGCCTAAACTATTTTCTTACAAATTATTCATTTTTTCGTTTTTTTATATACAGAATCCACTTTGCACTCTTCTAGTAGGCTCTATCGCTGCTTGTTTCTTGAAAAATCTGGAGATTTGTCTTCTAGTGAGAGTCATTTCCCTAGTGTTTTTTTCTATAGCTGGGATTTTGCGTATCAATAAGCTATGCTTACCTTGCTCCAATACTTGTTTGTTGATGTTATTCAAAAAGCTCGCACCACTTAGGTTTCTTTTTAATTCAAATAGTACATCCATCTCACAGGTAGTCTCTTGATAATTATGTAATGTCAATTATTCCTCTCGTTGTTAGTTACAATTTCCCAGCTTGCTTTTTTCATCGGTTCATCTCCTGGTTTTACAATATTGTACCCGAAAAATTCCTTCAGTTTGCTAAAAAAAATTTCTCTCAGGGTAAGAATGGTGTTCGTTTCCGGCACTAAGGTTAAGATCGTCAAGAAGAAGGTCACCAAGTTCAAGAGACATGAGTCAGAAAGGTAAGGTTTATATCTTTGGTTATGTACCTCGTTGCATTTGGAGCTGTTTTGAAGAAACAAGATTAATAGTTCAGATACCACCGCCTGAAGCCCAACTGGCGTAAGCCAAAAGGTATTGATAATCGAGTTCGTCGACGATTTCGTGGAATGCGTGCTATGCCTACCATCGGTTTTGGATCAGACAAAAGGACCAAGTTTGTTCTCCCATGTGGATACAAAAAAGTTCTTGTTAGAAATGTGAAGGTTTGTGTTTTAAGTAAACTTTCTTTTATGATATTCTCTCTATACTTTTGATTTTCTCACTTATGCATGTAACCATCATTTCTAAAATATTTTTTTTTTCAACATAAAACGTATACATGACAAAAATTTTGTTTGTGTTCAACTCACCCGTTCGCTTTTATTTTTAAGAATCTCAAAGGGGGAATACTGCACATATCGGTTGCAAGTTTAAGCACTAGCTTATTGGTCGCTCGCATGTAGCGTGTAAGTTGACTGACTGTGCACTCTTTTTTTTCTATGAACGGACGCAAATCGTTCCCCTTATGTCCTTACTTTTTTAAAAAGAATATGCAAGGAAAAGTTGTGATGCTATATTGCTATTATCAGTGCATTAGCAAGTGCTCCGCTGGTTATACTGAGTAGTGTTTTGCTGTGCGGTGGTTAGTTTTGTAGTGCGTTAGTAGTTTAAAAATTTTGT